GCTGCATGACTTATTTTATCCTTTCAGTCGCTGTTAGAACCATATTATTTTCTGAACCATTCAGGTTTATGACCATTATATGTAATGGCATTGGTTCCTAATTTAACAGCTGTATCCTTTTTTTATTTTTTATATTTACTTACTTTGTGCTGTGATAGTCTTGATATGCGTTTGATAGCTTTGTCTGAGAGGAATTTACTGAGTTTCAGCAAGCATAGAGGTAGTGTGGATGTGTACTGTGTAACATCAGAAATCAATAGATCTACAGGATGGTCAAAGTTCTGATTCCCTCCCACTTTTGTTGCTCTCCACTATTGCCCATGAAGTATTGTTCTTTGCAATTCAACTGCTGGGGCTGACAACAACTTCAGAATATTAACTAGTGATCTATTCCAGAAGGACCCATTCAGACCGACTCAGAGCATTTCTCAATTTAGCTCATTCCGAAAAATTTGTGATTCAAAGTAAACCATAAATAGAACTGTCATATAGAATTCCAAGTTGGGTTTCGATCATTTCAGTATCACTCAAATTTCATCAGAACATTCATTTGAATCAAAATGAATGTGAACACTAAAGCCAAAGCAATATAAGTCAACCATTAATATTTTATTTCTGATCAAACATATAGTCCTATAGTAGAAAGAGTAGTATCTTTTATTTTTTTCCTTCCAGTCTTCCCTGTGTCTGTTAACTGGCTTCTGAATTAGGTGCTAATGTTTGGCTACAGCTTTATGGGTAGCAAATAGTTCATTACCCAATTTTTATCATACTTGCTCTCGGGATGTGGGTGCCGCTGACAAGGCCAGCCCCATCCCTAATTATATTGGGTCTGGAGTCAAATGTAGGGATAACTTCCCTAACAGACAGTAGTAAACCAGATGGGTTTTTCCTGACAATCCAGGTCACTATTAGCCTCCTAATTCCAGATTTTTATTGAATTCAGATTCCCACCGCCATGGTGGAATTTGAACCCAGGTCCCCAAAATTATCCCTCGCAAGAGTGAGGGTTCCTTCATTTGATAAACTGTTGTGCTTTTTGAAGATTAATAGCCTAGCAATTATACCACTTAAATTTAAGCTTAGATTGTGAGGACCATCGGTTTAATTGATAAGGGGGAGTATCACAACTAAATCACATCCCGTTCTAGCACTTCCTTCATTCATTCACAAGACATATGCACCAGTGAGCCTGGCGATAGATAACTGTTCCTGACTTCCACTACTTGTGTTAGGTCTTCTTGAAGCATTTGAAGGATTTATGATAGCTGAATATTTTATGGTGTAATGTTTTTCTTTTTTTCAGAAAGTCAGAATAAACTGCATTCTGTGTGTGTTTTCTTTTCAAAGAGGATGATACAAATGAAAGAAGAGATAAAAGGCAGGTTTACTTGTACCAGAAGGAGAATTATTTTACTGGCATAGTTACAATTATAGAGTACCACTTACCTGAGGAACATCTGACCATGCCTGAGAGCTGCACATATTTATAGTCATGGCAGTGTAACCCCAGGCAGATTCACGCACAACTAAGGAAATTGGCACAGAATACGTTTTACCAGGGAGGAGTCATATACCAGCTCATGTAGAGAAGACTTTGACTGAGTACCTGATCTGTGCAGAGCTGCCTGTGCATATAAAATATTAACTCAATACATGGCATCATTGCCTGCCACCCTAACCAGATCAGTGGGAGTTGAAAACTTCTGATCAGCTTGTTAATTGTTCTGTGATTTGAAGAATGTTCTCATAACATAGTCAAATTAAAATATAACCATATTTAACACCTTAAAAGTGACTAGTGTACATGTCTATTGCACTTCATCCTTTCCCCTGGTGACAGTATGTAATACTTCTTGTAGAACTTTAGGAGTTTAGGTAAGTACATGCATAAGAAATGCTTGGAGGGATAGAGGCTAAACACAGGCAGGTAGGACTAGTTTAGTTTGGGATTATGGTCAGTATGGACTGGTTGGAGAGAAGGGGCTGTTTCCTTGTTGTAAGACTCTATGACTCTATGAATAAAAGAAGTGGTTGGTACTGAGCCCCAGTGAAGAAAGTGAAGCTGCTGTGTGCACCCTCTTGCCAGCTCCACAATTGCTCCTTCAAAATCCATTCCTATTGGGTGCAGCCAGTTCTGCCCGGTTTCTGGCACATCTGTCTTTGTTAAAACAGCCGTTAGTGCAGCAACAATCCCTGTTTTGGTCCATTTTAAAGAGGCTAGACCAGCATTTATTACCTATCCCTGATTGCCTTAGAAAAAGTAGTCATGAACTGCCTTGTTGAACCACTGCAGTTCTTGGGGTGTAAGGATACCCACAGTGCTGTTGAAGGAGTTTTCCAAGATTTTGATCCAGTGACAGAAAGAATGGTGATATACTCTCCTGATTTGGAACTATATAACTTGAAGGAAAACTTGCAGATAATGTGGTATTCATGCTTTTGCTGCTCTTTCCCTTCTAGCCAGTAGAGGTCACAGGTTTGGAAGGTGTGATCAAATATGATAAATTACTGCAGTGTATATTATAGATAATATACACTTCTGCCACTGTGTGTCAGTATTGAAGGGAGGGTATATTGATGTGCGAGATGGGGAGCCAAACAAGCTCTTTGCCCTGGACAATATCCGGCTTGTTGGGCAAATGAAGAGCTTTCCATCTCACTCATAATTTGTGTCTTGTAAATGGTAGACAGACACTGGGGAACCAGGAGGTGAGCTACTCACTCCAGATTTCCCAGCCCCGATCCTCTCTCCTAGTCAGTGTATGTATATGGCTTGTTCATTTCCATTCCTAGTAACTGTAACGATGTAGATAGTAGTGGATTCAGCAATGGTGATGCCATTGAACCTCAAAAGGTGATTGTTAGAATCTGTTTTGTTGGAGATGATCATCGCCTGATCGCAGAAATGTTCTTAGCCGGTTGTCAACCCAAAACTGGTTGTTGTCTAGGTCTTATTGCATTTAGACATGGGCTACTTCAGTAAATCAGGAGTCGCAAATGGTGCTGAATATTATACAGTCATTATGACAGAGAGAAGGTCATTAATCAAAAATGCTGAAAATGGCTGCACTTACAATGTTACCCTGTGGAGGTTCTGCAGAGATGTTCTGAAGTGGAGATGATTGACCTCCAACAAACACAGTCATCTTCCTTTATTTAGGGTAAGTCTCCAACCAGCAGAGTGTATGCTCCCAATTCCCAGTGTTGCTAGAGCTCCTTGCTACCACACTCAGCTGAATACAGCCTTGATGTCAAGTGCAGTTACTCTCACCTCACCTCTGGAGTTCATAATTTTAGTCCATACTTGGACCAACGTTGTAATGAGGTCAGGAGCTGAGAGGCACTGGAAGAAACCAAACTGCGCATCAGTGAGCAGGTTATCTCTTTGCTAGTGCTGCTTTATAGCACTGTTGGTAACGTCTTACCCTGTTTTGTTGTTGAGAGTGGATTGCTAGAGCATTAATTGACCACGTTGGATTTGTCCTACCTTTTGTGTTCAGGATGTACTGAAGCACTTTCCGTTATTGTTGGGTTGCTGCCAGTTTTGTCTCTGTTATCCTTCAAATCACTTCAGATAACCCTCTGGCATGTTAAAGCACAACAAGGAAGGCTCTTGATGAATGGAATCCAAAGACGCCACATCTTCGAGTATATTCATTTCTAAAATATACTTGCACTTTGCAAAGGCTCAGAGCAATAATAATGCAATGCCTTAAACAAATATCTTGAAATTCTCATGTGCAGGTAAAGCAATAATGTAAGAATGAATATGAAATATGAACAGCCGTTCGAGAATCATCTTACAAATTTGCACAGTTTTAAATCACTGCATAAAACATTTTTGATCAGAACCCATCAGTGTAATATTATTCAAAGCTCTCAGATACCTATTTTGAACAGTTTGGATTAAGGCAGAGCAAGCGCTATTCTTCAGCCCCAGTAGCCTTTTCAGTGCTAAGTAAAAAGCAACAGGCAAATTGAAAATCACAAAGTGAAATCTGTATTGTCAGTGCTGATGACAGGTCACCTTTGTTTCTCCAAAGGTGAGGTCTGACTGACTGACTGGCTATTTCCAGCAGTTCCATTTGTTTGTGACATTAGCACATATTGTCATGTAGCATGGGTAATTTTGGATTTCTCATGGTCCAGATTTTGCTTTTGAAAAGCTGGTCCAATATTACAGAACTTGCAACAATAAAGCTGATCCACGTTTCTAATAACTTGTTCGGTAATTGTATCAGTAAAAGTTGAATAGTACAATGCAAACTCAGGATGAGATAAGGTTCAAACTTAAACCAATGGTGACTTAGCTGACCTTGGAAAGTGGGATACTTGCTTTGCTGGGGCATGGGTGAAATGAGGATTGCTGTTTCTGATTGCTGTCCATAAGTCTACTTGAACCAGTTAACAACATAAGGGCAGACAAAATGGAAATGGGAGTAAACCATATGGCCCTTTGAGCCTATTCTACCATTCAGTATGATCTTGACTGATTTCCAGCCTTATCTCCGTATTCTATCCTCCTCTTCCTGTTTCCTTTGAATTCCCAAGAGGCCAAATAACAGTCTACCTCAGCTTTGACTATACTCCGTGATGAGCCACGCACCCAAGGTAAGGAATTCCAAAGATTCACAACCCTCTGACTGAAGAAATATCCCTCTTCTCAGTTCTAAATGACCAATACCTCATCCTGAGCTTCTCCTAGCCAAGTAGAACAACCTCTGTGTTTTTCCTGTAAGACCTCATGTTGATTATTCAGGCACCTAGCACTGTGAGTGCTGCAAAGGATCATAATAATGCAGCAAGTGAACATGATAGTGAATAGATCAGCCTTGTGTCACATAATATGGCTACTAGTGCCCATTATACATAAATGCCAAGTAGATGATTCATTGCATTGTGTGTCACTATGTCTGTAATGAACAATGTCATTCTAAGTGCAAAACCTTGTGGAACGAAGCATTCTAATGAGCTTTTATCTTAAATTCCAATTCTAGCATTTAGCTACAAGAAAGCTCCTCCAGTTCCTCCTCGGATGGCCACAAAGCCAATCATCTCCGTGACAGCCCAGAGCAGCACAGAGTCAACCCAGGATGCATACCTGCAGAATGAGGTCCATCGGTCCACCTCCTGGTCAAAAGATCTTAAATCCCAGTGCAATTCAACAGACAGTATTGACAGTGGCAAAGCAATGCACCTGGCACTGGAGTCCCGTGCCCCAAGTCGTTCTTCAATAAAGAGCTCCAATGGAACTGGAATTAGTAAAGGCATTCTGAATCGTGATGAACCAAAGCTACAGCCACGCCAAAGAAAGTGGCGTTCATCTGTTGGGATACAGGTAACCATTACCAAATCCATCTATTTTTTAAAAATATCTTTCTCAAATGAGATGCAATAAGAGAACCATTCATTCACAATTATTTAGGTGTCTGTGTGCATGAGTCACTTGGAATCCTCACAAATTCATGTTGGTATGGTTCTTACTCTCCTATTCACTGAACTGAGAGTCTCACCATTATCTTTTCATTTTGAATGCTTCAGTCACCAATTCCTTTTCTGCGCCAACTGACAGTCCAATCATAATTATTATCTCATTTTAAAGTGGCTCTGCCCTAAAAGAAACTTTGGTTATTGCCTCTCATGTCTTCAAGTCTTCAACACAACAAGAATCACCTCTTTCCTCTCTCCTCCCCCAACCCATTTCCCACCTTCTACTGAGTAAAGAAAAGGAAAGGAATGACACAAAAAAGGGTCCCTAATTTGACTAAGCTTTTGGCCATCTGTTCTAGTAACTCCTTGCTGGCTTGGGACAAACTTTATGTGATAACACTCCTGTGAAGTGCACTGGGACTGTTGGCAAAGGTTCTATATGGAAACAATATATAGTCCTTCTCGTGCTTCAGTTGACATTGAGCTAGTCAATGGAAGCAGCAAAATCACCAAGTCTAACACTCAGTTTGCCATATCTCTGTGACCTTAAACTGTTTTTAGGCATTTCAGATAACGGTGTCAACTCTTGACTTGAAGCAATGCAATAAGATCTCAGCAGGAAAATTAGTATGGATGCCCTATTCTAATTATAGTTCAATTTTTCTGACCAAGTTCCTTTCCAAATGTAGAAGCCCTTGCAGCAAACAGTTAGTCATACTGTCACTTGCCCACTGTTTATCTTGCAATACTGTTTTAGTAAACTGCTTGGTGCCGTAGCTGCCACAGTGCAGCTTCATTATGAATTAGTGCCTTATTAAAGGTGAGGGCAGACAGACGGCTCTACCTCCAGAGTGTTACTCAATAAGTCCTTCAGAGAACTGACAACATGCTCAGATGTTATTAAACAGCTTCAGAGCAGGGAGGCCTTGAACCCAGATCTCCTAGTTCACAGGTAGGGACACTAGTACTGGACCACAAGAGCTCCTGACAATATTGTATACCCACAAAAATGTGTATCTATGAGTGCACCAGTGGGTGTAAGGCATAGTTGTGGGCCAAGTTGGACCCCCTCAAAATATTTTAAGAAGGTAGTCTAGACTCTAGAGGAAGATGTGAAGTGCCATGTTCCAGAGGTGATGTGACCGGTCAAACTAATCAACGTTAAGCAAAACACAATTTATTTAAAAATAAGAGTGAAAATACAAACAAAAGAAAGAGGAATTTAGAATAACTTTACTATTGGAAAACTTAACCGAATAATAGATACAGTACCGATTACTAATTAACTGTTCTAATATAGTAACATCCCATAAAACGCCCCTTGGTAAAAAGGAAAATTCAGACACAGATTCTTACATGCAGTTCTCCAATCCAGGAGGAAACAACATCAAGAGAGCTGTCAGTGAAAGTAGCAGCTGGGAATCATTCACTGAAGTTTCCAACTCTTTTGAGACCCCATAAAGGTTTCTGATGCTGCTGAAAAAACCAAAACCCAGAAATCTGGATCTGTGAGAGCTGCCCACACCCATTCAGGCTGCTTCCATTGTTCTAACTTTAAAATAATCCCCAAGGCCTCACAAGTTGTTTACTCAAGTCGTCTTCAGTAGCCAGTTTGATGCCTCTGCCTTACAACCTCTTTTCAAAAAAGGACAAAATAACCTTTTAAAGTGACAGCATTGTTGCAGGCATCAGTTTCAGATAAGGATGCTTGATTACATATATGATTGCACATCAGGTCTTCAAACTACAAGAGGTAACCCAGAGGTGCTGAGAGGTCCTCTGAAATGTAATGAACAAACTGGAGCAAATAGGGTCCATAATTGAGTTGTTTTGCTGCAAATATTATAAGGTGTAAGTCTGCTTTGCAAAAGTTGGAACTATTTACAGAGATTTATCCATCAAATAGTCTCAACCTGTAAGGTACTCATTCTAAAACTGGCAATGAGCTGAGCTCCAGACTATGAATCTTTGATTTTCACCTGGAATTTCATCCAATACTGTTCTTATTTCATTCCCACCGCCACCAAATCCTCATCTGTCACTTCATCACTATTTCCAGCACTTTGCTTGCCAACTTACTAACCATCCAAACCAGTTTATTGATCACACTTGCCAATTTACTGTCCATCCTTTTTAAACTGCAACTTGTCTAGAAATCGAGCACCATCATTGTATTTCACACTGGATCCTGGCCTTATGCCTCCCTGTTCCACAAATCTTCTTTGATACAATGTCTCTTCATGTCTTAAATTCGAAAGCTTTTTCTCTATCTCTACCAATCTCTAGTATCTCATACCTCACACACATCAACCTCTTCCAGCACTGGTGCTAAGGTGCTCATTATGTTCCTGACATAGTGGCAATCTTTACAGATCCCACTGTCTCCTTTTCATCTTTGGGTGTCAGAGTTTTAATCTTTATCAGATTTTGGATTGCTGTCTCAAACTCCTCCACCTTGCTATCTCATCCCTTTCTTTCAAAAGACCCTTTTACTACCTTTGTTTTAAATGATATTGTTTTAAAATAGTCAAGTTTACTGCACAAACGTTGTTCAACTTGACTATGTTAAATTAATGCTTCACATGTGCCTCTTTCCAACACTTTTCATCTAACCCTATCAGCCTATTCTAAAATAAAGTATACTGTAAATTCAGTTGAGGTACCAGGCAATGGAGAGGGAAACAGAGCTAATGTTTCGGGTTGCTGACCTTCCATCTGTGTCTCAGCTTCACGGAAACTATTTCATACTTCTGGTTTACAATTTTGGACACCAGGACAATAGAGATCTTTTCCACGCAGCTACACAATCAAAGCCTTTCTTTATCTTGAAGACGCTTATCATGTCACCTCCCTGACTATCCATTTTGAGCCTGTTTTGGCCAGCCCATTCAGCCTTTCCTCATAGTTCTGGTATCTTATGTGTGATTTTTTGTTTACACTTTCTCCAATTCCTTACTAATGCCTCAATAGTTTATAAATCAGAACTCTATAAGTGTGGTAGGAAACAGATCAATATAGGCCAGTTAGCTTAATGTCTATGATTAGGGATGTTTTCGAAGAACGTTTAGAAATACATGTGATTAAACAGAGTCAGCATGGTTTCATGAAGGGGAAATCATGCCTGACAAATTTACTAGAATCCTTTGAGGAGGTGACAAGAGGAATAGATAAAAGAGAAGCAGTGGATGTAATATATTTGGATATTCAGAAGTTATTTGATAAGGTATCACACGTTAGGCTACTTAATAAGATAATAGTTCATGGTGTTGGAGGTAGTATATTAGAATTGGTAGAGAATTGGCCAACTATTAGAAGACAGTTGGGATAATGGGGGAACTTTCAAAATGACAACCTGTAATTAGAGGTGTGCCACAAGGATCAGTGCTGATACCACAATCATTTACAGTACATATTAGTAACTTGGATGAGAAAAGTGGTTTTATGGTAGCCAGGTTTGCAGATGACACAAAAAGAGGTGGAAAGGCAGGTAGTGAGGAAAACATACAGTTTGCAAAGGGATATAGAAGGTTAACCGAATGGGAAAAAGCTTAGTAGATGGAATATAATGTGGGAAAATGTAAGGATATGCACTTTGAGAGGAGGATAGAGGAGATTAATATTAGTCAATTGGAAAATGACTACAGAAAGTTACGGACCAGAGGGATTCTGAAGACCTCGTCCATGAATCTCAAAAAGCTAGCACCCAAGTTCAGCAGGTAATAAAGAAGGTAAATGGAATGTTGGCCTTTATTTCAAACAGAATGGAGTATGAATGTTGGGACGTTTTGCTACAACTATATATTGCACTAGTCAGACAACATCTGGAAACAGATTTGGGCCCATTATCTAAGGAAGGATATACTGGCTTTGGAGGCAGCCCAGTGAAGGTTCAGTGAGCTGATACCAAGTAAGGAGGGACTGTCTTATGATGTGAGTCTGAATAGTTCATCCCATACTCACTGGAGTTAAGAAAAATGAGAGGCTTATTATAAGATACAAGATTCTTAGGAGACTTGACAGGGTACATGTGGAGAGGTTGTTTCCCTTAAGGGTGAATCTAGGATTAGAGGGCATAATCTCAGAATAAGGAGTCACACATTTAAGACAGACGTGAGGAAGAATTTCTTCTCTCAGAGGGTCGTAAATCTGCAGAAGTCTTTACCACAGAGGCTGTTGACGTTGGTACATTTGGTGTATTCAAAGCTGAGAAAGACAGATTGTTAATCAATCAAGGAATCATCTCTTATGTGAAAAAGGCAGGAAAAGGCAAGTTGAGGATTATCAGATCAGGCATGATTTCAGTGAATGGCAGAGCAGTCTCTGTGGACTGAATGGCCGACTTCTGCTTCCACATCTTGAGATCTAATGAAGGTTCTATCATGTTACTTTTATGGTTATATTTCTATCCCTTTAGAAATGAGCCGGAGTGCTTGGTTCCATTTTTAATGGCCTCTTTAATTTGCGTTGCTACATTTATTAATTTATGTATCTGCATAGTAGATCCCTTTAAGTTTCCCGTGTAGATTCACATTGTAAAATCAGTATGTGGTCGTCATTTTCTGCAAAATGCACCGTTACAATTACCTATATTGTTGTTAATTTATGTATAATGCATGTGTAAGTGTAAATTTCTTGATGTTATCTGATATTTTGTTTGCTGATAATTTATTTGTATTAATAGCACCTCTCAGTTTTGTGTCATCTGTAAATTTTGAAATTGCATTTGCAATTTACTAATCCAAATCATTAATGTCAATTGTGAACATTATCTCCGCACTAATTCCCGTAGAATGTCACTTCTCAAGTTTACCAGTCTTAGGAGCTACATTTTCCCTTCCTGTATTTCCAATTATGTTATTTGTCCCCTATTCTGACATGCCCTGTGCTTAGATGTGAGTCTGTTGAATG